AAATAAATAAATTTAAACTAGGCAAGTCGCCCAATGAATGAGCGACTTGCTCAAGTTAAAATCTTTAAGAAAACATTTCAGGAGGAGAAAATAAAATAGAAAGAAAATATTTTAGAAGAGAAATAAATAGAAATAAACTAAAAGTAGAGAAAAATAAAGAATGAGAGATAAATACAGAATTCCAAAACGATCTTTTTTTTATTCACGTGTCTTTAGAGATGAGTACATCAATTTTTTTTATTTTTTATTAAAATTTTAAAATGCAAATGTTTTTTCTTATTTAAAAAAAAAAATTAAATAAAATATTTTTATGAGTTAATATGTATTAAAAATTCACAATTTAATTTTCATAATCATTTAAAAATAATCCTTTTTTTTATTTTTTGTTCATGATACAGTATTATTATTATAAATTTTCTTGTTTTAAGGAAATAAATTTATATAATATTTATCTTATTTTTCATTAATCAATTTAATGATTTTTTTTAAAATTAGATATTTTTTTAAAAAAATCACGTTACTTCTATATTTAATGAAAAAATATACGCAGTTTTTATTTATATTTATAAAAATTAAGTTACTCTCTAAATTTAATGAAAGTGTAAAATAAATATTTATTAAAATATCATTTCTTTGTAACAAAGATAAATTTAAAATAAGATAAATTATTAGAATAAAAATTATAAAAAATGTATTTTAATTGATATGATAATTTAATTTTAAATTTTTTTGGCACCTAATAATCTCATTAAATTTTTCATTCTAAATTATTTATTAAAAATAGAAAAAAAATTTACATTTAAATTTTAATAAAAAATCTGATATACCACTTCCCAGAACAACATGAAATTTTTTTTTGGATTTTTTTATTTATATCTCATACTTTATTTCTCTATTTTTAATTTATTTCTCTCTCTAACTTTCTCTCCCCTAAAATCTTTTTTTAATATATTTTATAACTTGAGCAAGTCGCAGTTCATTGGGCGACTTTGCCTAGTTCTAAATGTAATTTTTTTTGTTGGTTTAATAAATAATTAAATTTTTAATGATAATTATTTTAAAAATTTACCCTAGAACTAATTTCATCCAAAATGAACTTCTATGTTTTTCAAGATGATATATAATGAGGATTTTTTCAATTGTGTGCATTATGAGTCATATAGGGGTGTCAATATTTGACACGACTCAAAATTTCGACCCAACCCTAACCCAGAAATTTTGGGTTTGAGTTGACCCGAACCCGAATCAGGTTGGGTTATGGTTTTCGACTTGTTTCAAAAATTGGGTTAGTTTTGTGTTGACCCATAAACCCAAAAATGACCCAGAATTTCCCATTTGCCCGCGTAGCCTGCCCCACTACCCATGTCCCATTAGCCATTGAGCCGCTACTGCGTAACCTGCCCCGCTACCTCGCATGTCGACTTTCACGTCGTGTTTAGCGTCTGCCAATGCCCGCGATGCTGCTGCCCTCAATCCTGCTGCCTGCGAGCCACTAACGTTATCACATCTGCTGCACATTGCCACTACCGTTTGTCGCCGCTGCCCGTGATGCCATGTCACATCTCCTACCGCTATTATCGTTGTTGCCACTACCGGATGTTGAAGTTACGTGATTTCTGCCTATGTCAATTAACCCGAAGCGTAGTTATGGGATTTGACTTACGGGCCGGGTCGGGTTTACCGAAATTCAAAGCGAGTCAGATTCGGGTCCAAAAAATTGGCCCGTTTGCAAAAATATGTTGGGTTTGGGTTGACCCGAATAGTGTCAGGTCAGTTTCAGGTTCAACCCGAACCTAACCCGTGGCCCAAAAATGACACCCCTATATAAAATCATATTTTCCTACTTAAATTTTTATGAAAGTCCATAGGGCATCAAAAGGGAAACCTTGTCTTTCTCTCATGTTATACCCTATCTTAATTCGTCCTAGTTATCAAGATTATCAAATGCAAGATGAGTGTCCACATTAGCAATCTATATATGTGTTCTAATCCTTTTAACCATCATACGATTGTCCCCCACAACAACATGCATGCATGCTAGTGTTTTCATTTTTTTTATTACCATTGATTATGTATTAAAATGTTCTTTAATCATAGGAGTTATAATTATTTCTATACCTATAAATATATACATATTTATCTCTAACTTGAAATAAGATTCAATGTCCCACCCTTACTTTTGCATGGTATCAGAAATGTACTTATTGTGATAAAAATGAGTGAAATGACTAATAAGCTTATCAATTGGTCAACAATAATCATTACTAGCTTATCTTATGTTGTTATGTGTTGGCCTAATCATTGTGTGTCTTAGGACACTCAAACTTATTAGTAGCCATTTAGTTTGCCTTTTTTTATATATGAATGAAATTATATGCTTTAGTTATGATTGAACTCCAAGTCAAAAGTTAACTTGCTATTTAAGAAACTTTATAACGATATTATCATACAATATATGTCCTAATATAAGTATTATGAAGTGATAGTGCTAGGGAATACCATAGTTATGAAATTCAACATTTTTTCGGCTCTCATGATGTTGATGGAATCGCAGATATCCATGTTCATCGTCCAGTCCGGAATCATCAAAAGATGGCTCGTTGCTTTCTCAACTCTTACTGTCGATCGCCGACGACGGCGTCGACATCAAAGATGGCACCATATTAGCTCCTCCTGGTTTCCAAAACTAAAAAGATGTAAATTGATTAGTAGTAGAAGAAGAAGCGGCAGCAGCAAAGAGTACGAGATTTTGAGGAAGACAGAGAGAAAAAGAGGGAACTCTTCTTACCAGAAATATGGTTGGAGCAAACTATTAGCTTCTCCAACTCCAACTCCAAAGAGGTTTGACAGGAATTAGACAAAAGCCGAGTCAAATTTTCATTGTGCCCTTTGTTGTGTTTCTATAAAAGCAATTTTAGACAAAATATAACAAAACAAAACCTTCAATCCGAAAATTTCTCAAATTTCAAGTAAGATTTAAGTTTCATTTGGGACAACTTTCTTAATATTTCTTAAAGTAAATTTTTAATATAAAATTTTAATTTTTGTACTAAAAAGCTTATTTAAGAAGCAATAAGAAAGGCGTCCCAAACGAAGCCTTAAAATTTGGTTTCAAATTCATCATAAAAATTTCAATTTTGATAATTTAGACATTATTTGTAACAGTTTTAATATTTTTAAAGCAATTTTTTAATACAAAAATTTCTACTTAGTTTGAGGCAACATAAATTTAAGGACTAAAATTCATCACATAAATCATATAGGAATATTCTTTCATAATTTTTAATCTTAAAATTTAATGATAAATTGTCAATTTGAAGCCCTGATAGATGAGCACGATCAACATAATTAACACGTGAAAAAAAGATAATTGCTCATTGAATATTAAGAGAAAGATATAAATAAATTAGAAAGAGAAAAAAAACTTTAAAAATAAGCGAACCAGAAAATATCTCCATAACAAAATATCTCATTTTCTTAATATATCGTATATCTCTTTCATTAGACATAAAATATATCAACATTTGCTCATTCGCGCATAGGTGGCAATGCTATTATTTTGTAGAAATCTATGCTTTGCCGATCATTCCAAAAAAAATTATTACTTAATCCCAAAATATTCACTTAATTACTTCGCTGATATATAATTAAATGACTAAGCTCTAAACGGTCCTATACGGGTGTCAATTATTGACACGACCCGACAACCCGACTGGGTTAGGGTCGACCCGTTTAACAAACGGGTCGAATTCGAGTTCCAATTTTCGACCCACTTAAAAACGGACCGGGCCTGGGTCAACCTGGTAACCCGAAATTGACCCGAAATGACCCGCATACGCCTCTGCTCGTTTTAATTTTTCCCGCGTGGGAGGGAATCGAGGGACCAGACGTCCTGTCACATTGTTGCCTGACAATCATTCCGCGTCGCCTGGCAAGCTATTCGCATCTTTGAGGGATTGGACCGCGTCAGGCGTCAGGCCAACCATCTGGCTCGTCTCCACATGACCTTTGGCCCCTTGCGCGCCTGCACCGACGTCAATCCCATACTGCTAGGGTTGCAAGCGAACCAAATGTTCGACGAGCTACTCGTTGTTCGGTTCGATTAAAGCTCGTTTGCGATCGTTTAATTAACTAAACAAACAAACTTGAATAATATTTTAAATACTCGATTCCTAAATAAACAAACTTGAACACTAATGCGTTCGGCTCATTTATGTTCGTGAACAACATCATTTGAAGTTCGTGAACAAGCTTGACATTAAGCTCGATAAAAACTCAATTCGTGTTCGATTTTGAACTCGTGAATAAGCTCGATAAAAATAATTAATATTTGACTATAGAATTAATAAATATAAATAATCATTATCTTTGTTACATAGACAATTGTTTTTAATATAAATGCGTTTGTTCATAGATATGTTCATGAACGTGTTTGTTTGATAGTTAAAAAAATTCATTAAATATGTTTGCGAACAAGCTTGATAAACACTAAACGAACGAACATGAACTGAACATGAACCAATGAACCAAACATGAACACAAATGCTAAAAGCTCGAACAAACATGAACCAAACATGAACAAGCTGGTATTAAATGAACACAAACATGAACACTCACATACTCGGCTCGGCTCGGTTCGTTTGCAGCCCTACATACTGCCATATGCGAGGACCTCATCGGCACCAGCACCGCTTGAGCGTCGTCGCCTGGCCAGTGGCCAGCCTGCCGTTGGTTGAGACCCGCTTCGCTGAGCCTCAGATGGCAAATCGGCGAACCGCGCGTGATTTCTTGCTCGCGGGTCGGGTCAGGTCAACCCAGTAACCCGAACGGGTCAGGTCCGGGTTGACAAACCTAACCCGTTTACAAAACCGGGCTGGGTTAGTGTCAACCCGTTTGTGACCGGGTCAAGTCGGATTCGACCCAAACTCGACCTATTAATCCGAATTAACACCCCCACGGATCCTATAATAGGACAGATATAGATATAGTCAGCCGCCCGTTCTTCAACATGGCTGCAAGCCGCAAGGCTGACGATGCCCTCGGGGTAAAGACGACTCCTTTCTTCAAATTAAAAAGAAAGACGGCACCTTTGACTCGGCTTTTGTCTGATTCTTCTGTCAAACCTCTTTGGAGTTGGAGTTGGAGAAGCTAATAGTTTGCCCCAACTATATTTCTGGTAAGAAGAGTTCCCCTCTCTCTCTCTCTGTCTTTCTCAAAATCTCGTACTCTTTGCTGCTGCTTCTTCTTCTACTACTAATCAGTTTACCTCTTTTTAGTTTTGGAAACCAGGAGGAGCTAATATGGTGCCGTCTTTGATGTCGACGCCATCGTCGGCGACGGTAAGAGTTGAGAAAGCGACGAGCCACCTTTTGATGATTCCGGACTGGACGATGAACATGGATATCTGCGATGCCATCAACACCGATCCCTTGTGAGCATGAATTTTATGGTTCGATGGGTTTTATGCGTGACGGGATTGGGATTCTTGATTGATTTTAGGGTTTCTGCTTTTTGCCCTTTTTACTTTCTGGATCAATCCGATACTAGTTTTCAATTCTATGATTTGAAACAAAAACATAAAACTGCTTCTTCTGAGATGTTATAATTGTTAGTTGTTATTATTCCATAGTTCATACGGAAGTTAAGGGAATATTTGTTACCATTTTATTTTATTTAGTTTGCTTTAGTTTTGTCTTTATTTTTATAAAATAAAATAAAGGATGATTGATATATTATGAGAAGATAGAAACACAATTTATTATTTATGTATGGGTAGAAATTTGAAATTTTTTGTTCATATTATACACTTCTTAAATAATCATACGAATTTTAATTATTTCCAAATGATTATGTCATTAGATAATAGTTAAGCAAGATAAATTGTAATAGGAAAATATGAAACAATAGTAACATCAATTTAATTCTACTAAATTTCAATGGTCAACCTAATGACTCTTTCATTATTATTATTTATATTTCTTAGAATAACATTAGCTTTGATACCGCTTTTGTTAAGACCCGATCTGAGAATTTGGGATGCCAAATTGGGAATAATATTCAGACAATAAATTTAATTATTTCAATAATAACTAAAAAGATCAAATAAAACAACATCTAAGATTTTGAAAAGAGTAATTAATCATCCATTCTAAGTTTTGAATATGTATAATAAATTCATATCTATTTTTCATTAGATCACCTTCGTCTATACACAAAACCTTCTTTGTCTAACATTTACTCAATCTGAGTTTTACTTCATTTAATGGGTTGAGTTTTCATCATCAAACTTAGTGATTAATTATAGTCCTATAATATAGTAATAATAACTAAAATATATATGTGAGTTGTCCTAATTAATCATTAAAATTTTCATTTAATTGAAAGTAAACATGAGCAGTAATAATCATCATTTTTCATTAAATATTCGTTATTATTGCAAGTATCAAATTTTAACATTTTATAAGTCATTTATTTTAGAAACACTGTCTAATGTTGCATCGATGGATGGTACATTGTTTCCCTGACTAATGCCATATGATGATGAATTCCTATAGGGGTATAAACAAGTCAAGCCAAGTTTGAATCACCTCTAGCTTAAGCTTGAGCTTGATTAATTAATTAAGTTCGGGCTTGAGCTTCAGCTTACTAAATTTTTTAATATTATTTTGAAGACTAAAAAGATGTCAGATGAGTGGAGAATGAGTGTGTTAGTTTCTAGTTTTAAGAATAAAGGTGATGCACAAGATTGTGTGAATTATAGAGGAATTAAGTTAATTTGTCATACTTTAAAATTATAGGAGAGAGTTATAGAGCATAGGTTGCGGTGTGATAATAATGTTTCTCAAAATCAATTTGGATTCATGCTATGTAGTTTTACTATGGAAGCTATACATTTATTGAGAGGTTTCACGTAGAAGTATAGAGAGAATAAGTAGAATCTACATATGATATTTATTGATTTAGATAAAGCATATGAAAAAGTTCCAAGAGAAGTGCTATGTAGAGTTCTGGAAAAGAAACAGGTTAATAATGTTTATATTCAGCTCATTAAGGATATGTACGCAGGAGTTGTTATTTGTGTTTAAACACAAGTTGGTTTGACCAAGTATTTTCCTATTTCAGTTGGATTATGTCAAGTATGTTCCTTAAGCCCATATCTTTTTGCTTTAGTCATGGATTTTCTCACTAGACATTCGCAAGAGGTTGTACCTTGGTGTATGCTTTTTGGTGATGATATTCTTCTTGTTGATAAGACAGGAGAGGGAGTTGAAGGTAAACTTGAATTATGGAGGTCCACCTTAGAGTATAAAGGTTTTCGTTTTAGTAGATCTAAAATTGAATATATTGAGTATAATTTTAGTAATAATAGATCTAGTAGGGGGATTGTGAATTTAGGCAATCAAGCCATTAATAAGAGTACATGTTTTAGATATCTTGGGTCTATTGTTTAGAGTGATGGTGAAATAGATGGGGATATTATTAGTAGAATTCAAGTTGGATGGTTGAATTGGAGGAATGCATCGAGCTTGTTGTGTGATAGAAAAGTCCTACTCAAACTTAGGGAAATTCTATAAGATTGTGGTGAGACCTGCAATGCTTTATGGTGCAAAATGTTGGCCATTAAAATAGATGCATAATATTAAGTTAAGTGTTGTAGAGTTAAGGATGCTCAGGCGGATGAGTGGTTTTACTCTTGGAGACTGGATATGAAATGAGCATATACGTGAAAAGGTTGTAGTAGCTCTAGTGGAAGATAAGATTAGAAAGAGAGGAATCGCTTGAGATGGTTTGGTCACATAAAACGGCGACCTTTCGATGAACTGGTTAGGAAAGTATATGATTTAGATTTGACTTATGTTAAGAAAGAGAGAGGTAGATGTAAAAAGTCTTGGTTAGAAAATATTAGAAATGACATTTCTTTATTAGATTTAAATGAGAATTTGACTCTTAATAGGACATAATGGAGAAAAAAGGATTCATGTAGCCGACCCCAAATAGAGGATAAAGGTTTGATATTGTTGTTGGTGTTGTTGTTGGGCTTGAGCTCCAGCTTAAATCTATGAGTTTGAGTCAGCTCTTTTATAATGAAAGAGAGAAAATTATTATGATTCAAATAATTTTTAGAATAAAAATATAAAAGAATGAGAAATTAGATAAATAATAAAGAATCACTTGATATAAGAAAGCGAGATATAATTTTCAAATATTTATAATAGCTTTATACTTGAACTCTTAAAGTCTAATATATTTTTTAGTGTATTTTATAATAATATTTTTAAGCAAGCTGACTCGCTAGCGAACAAGTTAAGGCAGGCTCAAGCTTAGCTAGCTAGCTCATCAAGCTAAGCCCACGAGTCATTTATCAAGCTGAGCTCGAGCCAACTCAAGAGTCGACTTGACTCACTTTAATGTTTTGTTAAGTTCTTCCTTAGTGCACAGCTTAAACATGAGGTACATGATTAAGCCAAATCACGGAACTAATTTAAAAAGATATTTACATTATATTTTCCAATTAAATTTTCAATAACATATTTAACACTCAGTATAAATTTCCCGAGAATGCACTTACTTGCTTTCAATATTTTCACCTCGATTATACCTCTCAATTCTTTCATTGTCTAAAATAATATTAACAATGTTAAACAATATTAAAAAATGACATCGGAGATATCGAATATTATCAATGGCAATGCGAAAGCATTAAATGTTGGCAAACAACATCAAACTCATCGAACATCATCAATGATAACATTGAATGCATCTAATTATCAAGTCATATGTTTAATTGCATTTTATATTATATTTTATTAAAAGAGCTGAATAATTAGATAAATTTCATTGATTATTTCTAATTACTCTCCCTCATCTAATTGCAATCACACAAATCAAACCATCTTTTTTTTCTTCTCTATTGAAAATAATCACACAAATTAACTAAATCAAATCAAAATCATAAACCCCTTCTTTTCTACTGCAAAAAGTAGATTCACTTACTCTATTTCTCTCTCTGTCTCAAACTCCCTTGAACCAGATTGCACAATTCTTATTTTTCTTTTTCGATTTTGACTTCAGCAACCATAGTTTAAAATTGCGTAATAAGAGGCGTGCCTCTGCGCAATTCAGACCAAAAATGCCTCATTGCCTAAGCAATTTTGGTGTTTGCTGAGGCTTACGCCTCAAGCTTAGTGAGGCGCGCCTCAATTGCGCAATTGTGCAATTTATGTTGAGGCGTGCGCCTCATAGAAAGGGTCCCACTCACTTAACATAAAAATGAATTTTGTCTCTCTCTTCTACCTGTCCAAGCCAAACCGCAAGCTCCCGAACCCGCAAGCCTTCGTTCCCGATCCCGCAAGCTTCCAAAGCTGGCTATCCCGCACATCTCTGCCGGCGTCCCCGCTCACCGGTGAGTTCCTTATTTCCGGCCGCCCCTCTACATCACTTCTTGAAGAGTTCTTAGAGTTTTTTTTAAGTTTAGGGTATGATTTTTCTACTTATAGGAAAGTTAAGGTTTTAAATTTTTTTGAGTTTTTTTTTTTTTTTTTTTTTTTTTTTTTTTTTGGAAATTTTTTTTTTTTTTTTTGCTTTTTTCTTTTAGGAAATATAGTTAAGGGCAAGGAAAAGTGTAATACGTCATTGCGGAGGGACTCGTCTTGGAAATACAGTGTACAAGTTGACATAAACGGCGGTGAGAAGACTTATGTGTATTTAAAATGCAATTTTTGCGAAAAAGTGGTAAAGGGCGGAGTTATCCGCGTGAAGGAACACTTATCGTGCTCTCATAAAAACGTAGCACCATAGGCAAATGTGCCGGACAAGGTGAATGATGAAATTATTGCTTACATGAAGAAAAGTACCACGACAAAACACTTACAACATGAGCAATTTGATGAAAGGGTCGAACATGGTGCTTACTTCGGGAGCGAAAGTGGAAAGGGCTCTTCCTCCACTATACATAATAGAGAGTGGAAATTGCTCTTTCAATATGCCTCACTTATTCTTCTTCTGGGTGTGAGCGAAACTGGAGTACATATAGTCAAGTGCAAATAAAGAGAAGAAATCGGCTTTCAACACTGAGAATGAACTCCCTTGTGTATATTATGCACAAAAAGAGGTTGAGAGATAGGAGGTTGAGGAACAAGGGGTTAAAGGATGATGAAGACACGTTGGTGTGTGATGATGTGTTATTTTATAATGAGTGATTCATAGAAGATGACTAGATGAGACAGATTTGTCATTTTCAGACCTGTAGCTAGAGGATCTAAGTGTGGATGTCTTGAGGGGCGAAGCAGATCAAGTGGGCACATCTACTAGTACCACACCACACACATCCACTAGTTTTGCAGCACAATAACCAAATAAAGGTATTCCACAACTTCTTATATGTTATTGCGTTATATTTATATCAGGTGAGCAATTAACATGATAATGATC